GTTTGTGCCCCACGGGCTAATTAACATCCTAAGGGTCTTATTAGCATGTGAGAGGGTGTCGACTGAGCGTGGGATAAGAGTCAAGACTGGAGAGTGGCAAATGGGCTCTGTGTACTCACGGAGCAGGCGGCCGCTAGAGGGGCAGCCTGAGGCCCAGGGCCCTGGGTGTGCGGGTACCCACCCTGCACTTCTTCAGGTGGAACGCCATGGCCCCTGCCCTCCTCTGTCCTTGATCCACGTGTGGTGGTTATTTCTGTGTGTGATCTCAGCAGGGCCATGGTGCCCCGGTATTTGGTCAAACATGATTCTGGCTGTTTCTGTAAAGATGTTCCTTTTGGGATGAGGTTAACACTGAAATCCGTGAACTGTGAGTAAAGCAGCTTGCCCTCCATAATGTGGTGGGCCTCACCCATCACTTGAAGGCCTGCACAGAACAAAGACTGACTTCCCCTGGCCAGACGGCCCACAGACTTGAACTGGGACTCTTCCCTGAGTCTCCAGTCCGCTGGCCTCCCCAGTAAGATCTTTTTCTCCCCCTAAGATCTTGGACTTGCCAAGCCTCCATCATCAGGGGAGCCAATTCCTTGAAATAAATCTCTCTAGATGCACATCCTGTTGGTTCGGTTTCTCCAGAGCCCGGACACAACATGTTTACTTAGGGAGAAAGGAGAGTCAGCCAAACACGGAGGAGGGGCCTCTCCCCACGTGTGGCTCTGGAACATCCCCACTAAACCGGGGACACGTGTGGATCTGCCCGTAACTCCTCCCTCACCTCGGTGCACAGCTGAAACGGGCCCTTCCTCCGCAGGCCATCTCCTGGTGTTTGGGGGCTGAGGCATCACCGACTCACACCTGAGGCAAGCGGGAGGGCGGTGAGTTCCAGGTGGGAGGGAACCGACATCCCGGTGGCTGGTAACCATGCATCAGTTGTTTTATTCCAAAAATTCATCAGACTTTGGTGTATGAGTCTCCCCTCCCACTTTTTGCGGGTGAAAAGGAAAAGCGCTCCTCCATGTATTTTTTTGAAGAGCTTAGGAAACAAAAGATCCGAAAGTGTGCTGGGGAAGGGACCCTAATTCATGATCTCGGAGCTGAGTTTATATACTTTAATGGTTGATCAAATCCTCTCGATTGTGGAGAGGCGGCGAGTAGGGTTCCGCTCTGAGATGAAGTCCTAGACAGAAAGACCACTGTGATGGCTGCGCAGTGACTGAGGAGGCGCTCATTTCCTAAGCTGAGTGTGAACTGCACGTTCCCAGGGTCAGAGCTGCTTCACTGAGCAGCTCAGCATCCAGGCCACAAAGGGCCCACCCTAAAGCTGGCACAGCCAACCATCGCCCAGAGCGAGGGGCGTCTATCTCCTCCCGTGCACACAAACCAGCCGGGCGCAATGACAGAGAGAGGGCGCGAGGGCGAGGAAAGTGCATCCTGTGAGCTAATTCCCCTGGCGAAAGCTGTAGGAGAGCATATCTGCACGCCCGGCCCACCCGGCTGGGAAAAGCCTACTGGCC